GGTCTTGTCTGGCAGAATAATGGCTCTTTCTTCAAATTCCTCCTGAGCCTAGCCAAGGCAGATATTTTAATAAGTAGAAGGTAGAGGAAGACGGAAGAAAAGAAAAAAGAAGAAAGGAGAGACAAAGGGGTGAAAAGAATTAATTAATAAGGGGAAAAGTTGGTTAATTTGGATAGATTATTGCCAAAAGATGTATAATTTAGATAGTCAGAAGGGGTCTCTGCTTAGGTACTTGAGCCGGTACCACCGCGGCACGCAGCAAAAGGTCACTACGGGAGTTTGCGCTATCGTAACGCGTCCTAGCCAGTAATGTGATGGTAGGAGCTTGCAGATCTCTCTGAATTCATACTATAGTATGAAGAATTTCGTTTTGCATGACAAAGTAGGCAAAGCAGAAAGCACCACATGTATAGGTCAAAGCAGGACGGACTATCATAGAATGAAGGCGAAGCTTATTTAAGGCATTTATTTTTGAATTTCGGTTTAAAAGCGGATACAAGTACTGAAAAGTTATCAATACATTTTTGGTTAAATTTTGAATATGAATTTTCGGTATCATAGTTTGATAAAATGTGACATCTGAAACGATTCGCTGTTCTGGGGCAGCAGAATGCCTCTTTGTGAAGTAGGTGGTCTGTGTCCTGAAGTCACTAATTTTAATGCCTCACTGAAAGGCACATTCAGAAACTTCATCCACGGCATCCTACGGTTTTCCACTCACGCGATCATGCGAGTATGGAGAGACCACCAGAGCCGTGTCATTCGCATAAAGTACCTGGCACTGGGTGGGAAAAGAAATATCATGAATATATAAAGAATAAAGAATAGGTCCCAGGACTGAGCCTTGGAGCACGCCTTCGATGATGGGATGATACGTAAAATACGAATCCTTAATTTTTATCCTGCACTTTCTTCCTTCCAAGAAGGATTTGAGCAATTTTGACAGTGAAAACGAAAACCCCTTTATTAAGAATCCCGAAAGACCAGACAACACGGCAATGTCGGACCGGGCGAACCGTCTTCCACCTCTTTCATCCGCCATCCATGAAGATGAATATACACCACTTAAATTGTAAACTCATTACTTTAATGTAAAGTTCCCAATAAAATCTGTTGTCTAAAGTTTAAGTTAGTGTCTACAAAACAGAAGCAAAATACAGTCCATTAGCGTTCATTAGCCGCAGCATTACACCCTTATTATTTAATATATAAAGCTGACCTACATGCTACATCTTGTCAGTATTTTCATTTTGAGTGAATCCTGAGGTTATCGCTTCCACTAAGTCCCGTTGCCTGTTGCTCCGAACTGTGCTTTGCATGGAATCCGATTCGTACGTAGATGAACAATATTTTCAATCAGTTTAGACGTAAAACCCAATATACTTATAGGGCGATAGTCCTGTTGAAAAAATGATCCCCCTTTTTCGGAATCATCACAGCTTCAACGAAATTTCAGTCCGTTGGAAAAAACTGAGCCTAAGCAAGCATCGCAACAAAAGCTTCAGCGCCTTGCTGATGATTCGATCCTCTCCCGGTGCCTTGCGCGCATTATGATCCTAACGAATCTTTGAATGTATTCTTCCTCTTCAAGATAGTTATCCAAGTCGTCATTAGGAGAAAACTATCTCTTCATGGTCTCTACAGAAGCTGTCGCTTTTTTTTTAGGTGGACCAGAACCGTAGATTGGTGGCAATTGTTCCCGCTTGTCATTTATTAGAGACCTTCCAACGTGAAAAAGAGGGATACATTTGTTTATGCGTCTCTAATGGAATGGACAAGATTCGTAGACCTTCTAACGTCTTCAATTCGACGACTGCGCTTAGCGATCTTAATGACTGATCGTTTATAAGTGATCTTTTGGCGAATATAACCAGGCAGAAAAGGAGTATCAGCACACTTTATTCTTAAGATAGTTGCAGGCTTCTCTTGAACGAGTCTTGTCCACTCCGATAAAGCAGCATCTATCATCATATTTGATATTTATGTTCCTAAATATACCAATACCTGCAAATTCAGGTATCCTCCTTGGTATATTGGAGAAATTATGAGTAACATAAATTTGAAGGATTACTACTACAGAAAATATAAGAGAACAAGCAATGCTTACTATTACAATGAATTTTCTAGATTGCGCAGAATCATAAAGGGGCAAATTAGAGTTGCTTACAGTGAGTACTTGTCATCGGTCGAGGACAGTATAATCAACGACCCGAAGAAGTTCTGGTCATACATTCGGGATAAGAGAGACTCTAGCAGATTACCAGGCCAAGTCCAGTTCAATGGCAACGTATTTAATACTCCACAAGGTGTGATTGATACATTTGCCGACTATTTCCCTCTTATTTAGATAGCGTCACCTCGACACCATGTGTCTATAGAGAGGAATTAACAGAACCTGATGTACTGAAGTCTCTGTCTAAGCTTCAAAATAAACTTACGTCTGGTAGAGATCAAATACCTAGCAGCTTTATCATCAATGATTGTGCTCATGTTTTCGCTAAGCCGATGCTGATAATTTTCAATGCTATATTAAAAAGCGGAATTTTTCCTGATGTTTGGAAGACCGCAAAGGTGTGTGCGCTCCTAAAAGATGGTGATAAATCTAATGTACTCAACTATAGAGCTACAAGCATTTTGAAAAACTTTGCAAAGGCTTTTGAAATGGCCATTTACTCTTTTATCTTCGAGGACATTAAAAGCCTAATTACACCATCACAGCATGGTTTCATCAAGGTAGATCCACTACGTCAAATTTAATGACAATTACGCAGTATATAGCAGAATCGTTAGACAATAAACAACAAGTCGATGTTATTTACATGGATTTCAGCAAGGCTTTCGACAAATTAAACCATCATCCTCTTGTGGATAGCCTTCATTATTTCGGTCTTAGTGACTCGTTAGTCGGTCTTCTAAGCTCATATCTCTCTAATATGGCGCAATATGCTTATTATAATGGTTATTCTTCAGCTAATTATACTGTTCCCTCTGGAGTACCGCAAAGGTTCAAACCTAGGTCCCTTGCAGTTTTTATTCTTCATAAATAACCTAGTCGCCTCACTAAAGTGTGAATCTCTACTATTTGCTGATCACACATTGGTGCGACAATAATATTCTCTTCTTAAATATTTCCAAATGCAACGTATGTTCATATTGTCGTAAAATGAACCCGATTATGTTTGATTACTCCTGTCCTGTTGCATCGTTTTGAACTAGAGTCTCTACAGTTAAGACGTTCCACTGCTGGTCTGTCATTCCTTCATAAGCTTTTGCACGATAGAGTGGATGCACCAGAACTTCTTCAGAGGTTAAATTTCTGTATTTCACGGTTAAATACGAGAATAACTCTAACTTTCTAATGCGGTACCTCCGCTACATTCTACAGGTATATGCAACAATTACAATTCCATAGCAGACAATTCTGACATTAATTTTGATTGTATCAGTAAGATCTTGTCGAATTTCAGGTACTATTATAATAGCTGATTCTGTTTTTAACTTAGTTTTACATTATATGTAGTAAATATACCATTATATGGTCCTCCAATTATAGTAATAATAATAATTAGCCGTCTTTTATTAGGAAAAACAAATTACAGATAATGCATATATTATTATCTATAATTAGATGAGTGAGCAGCTTAATGGCGAAGTTTAGCTATGACAGCTATTCTTACACTTAACCATTTACTGCATGAGAATAATAGATGGTAAAAAAGTACAGCTGTAAAGAAAATAAAAGGAGGGAAATGCCCATGTAGCTGATCACAACCTTAACAAAAATTAACTTAAAAATATAATGCTGGAGAAAAACGCCTTTAAGAAGCACCATTGAGCAGAAGAACTTTTAAGTATTTTTTAAAACTATACAGCGGCAGGCTTTTTGTTCTGTAATGTAAGCTATTGTACAACATGCATGGAATAGTTCTATTGGGCAATTATGTTTAAAATAAAATAAAATAAAATCTAGTTAGCTCGTAGTACCTATAATATATAACCGCAATATTGGGAAATGTCGCAAGTATAGACTTATAGAATTTGAAGGAGGAGTTTCTTCATGGTCTTGTCCGGTTCCTACCTCCAAGGTGACTAGGAGATGGTCACTCTGAACGTCAACAAAATCAATCACGTGGGGTGTTAACAGACTGTCGTATCGATGGTGTGTCAACTCCTCCGTGGAGTATGCGAGGCATCCATGTTGTATGACATGATTATACAAGCAAGCACCGCCAGATGTGTTTAGCTTTTCATTCCATGGCCAGTGTTTGAAGTTGTAATCCCCCACAGCAATTAACGGTCCCGCGCAGTCTAGCAAAACTTCCAGGTCCATCTCTTAAAGCCGAGGACCACACCTTACATACACTGACGTGAGTTTCAGAGAAATGCATGGTGCCATAGTTACCCCCAGAGAAGCTGCCCCGATGGTCTGTATCTCGACAATTGTGCTTCTTTATTAGTCGATAGCTCGTCTCACAAGCACGACCAAGCCACCATTCCTCAAAATCTGGGACGTCAAATCTATCGCCCGGTTCCAGGAGTGTCTCTTGAAGCGACGCAACATCTATAGATCCGTCAATCTGGACTTGGTTGAGTTCACGTTTGTGCCGACCTATTTTATCCAACAAGCGGTCCAGAGAAGATTTTTTTTAAATTACGGCTACCTTGTATCAGTAGGCATTAACGGTCCTCTCAATCGCAGTGAAAAGACAGCCTTCAGGGCGTATATTGCGTGCAGAAGAGGAGGTATAATCTATTCATGTGATTTCAGGGCAGTGGCTAAATCATTGACCGGAGCGGACTTGAAGCGCTCAAATTTGTACTGTTGGAAAAGGCAACAGCAGCAAAGTTGTACCCAATATTAGCGTTACAGCTCTCTGCTATCGCTCGCATAAAAGTTCGATATTTTTTCTGAAGACAAATTCATAACCTAAGCTATTTGCATGATCATTTTGGCCACAGCTTGCACAGATTCTGGTATTTTGATCTGTAAGTGGTTACAGATGCTTGAGGTGCTCTTGGCCGCCCATTGGGAGTGCCACATCTCTGACAGCGACGGCGCTGATGGATTTGTCCAGAAGTCCATTGTATCTCCACATTGATATTCAAGCCCATAAGTCCACGCTCATTGAAAATGCGGTGAGACCTGGCGGCCTATGGTAGTATAACAACTATAAGAGACATGGGACTCCCGCCGTTCTTTTTTAAACGAATTTTATCAAGAGGGCTATCTCCCCGTAATATCAGCATTTCCTTCACTTCATATTCCTCCGCAGTTGTTGTTATACCCCTGAGAACCACGTGAACGTTTCTTTGGCAATAAAGAGCAAACATATGTTGTGGTATTGCTTTTTCTGTTAGAAAGCGTACAAGCATTCTAAAGTATCTTCCGTTTTGAGGATAATTCTAATTCCGGCATTGGCCGACGCCGGTGGTCGTGAGAAGTAAAATAAAAATAATTAATCTTAATCTATATGTACCATCTCTGGGCGAATCCAGATTCTGCCACAAATAGAGAAAAAACATACAGTGTTGAGGGACAGGGATTGGCTCAGGCCTTGTGACAAATTTTCATAGATGACTCGACGGTTTTTCAGTTCTTTACGGATAATCTCTTGGACGCGCAAATCAAGTCACCTATCTTCAGTTTGAATACGAGTAAATCAATGCTCAAATATGAAAAAAGGTAAGTTCTGCAACCTACAGCCTACTCAACATATCGCCATGCATATGAAAGTTCCAGACCAGTTTCATTGATTCTCCTTATGGTTGAGTTGCAAAACGAGTTATTGAAATGTGAACAACTATCCTTGGTGTATTAAGAAACTCATAGGAGTAGAAGCAAACGGCCTCAAAAAGGGAGACAGGAACTTCCACCTTCCTGGATCGAGCAGTAACACCGGCGTGACCTACTTTGCTGCAGGTAATCTTGTAGTGGTCAAGCAGGAAGGTTGGTTCTGAATTTCTATTTTGACTATGGGTACTGGCCGAAGAAAACGTTTCATTGGTGAAAGTTTTTATTTGAGGTGCACGAGGTGAAGCTGGAAAGTGGATCTTGCAATGTTTCCAAAAAGGGAAGCAGGTGTGATTGTAATGCTTCGTGGATATAGCGCTGGGCAGTCACGCTACCTCAAAGGAACACTAATCGTGACCTGCTGCCGTAAGCAATGGCACCCCATACCATAACATCCACAGTGCGGTGAATATGCCGCTCGATTGAATATTGGACGTTCCGTTTTTCACCACGTCTCCTCCTTACTCTTGCACGGCCATCAAGTATGCCCGAACAGAATCTGGACTCATCGCTGAACACGACTGAGTTCCATTCCATATCCCATTCCACCAATTCTACCAATCGTTGCCAACTACACTGTGGGGTCAGTCAAACCACTGGTTCGCAACTACATTTGTTATGGTAAATGTCGCTCTGCGACGTCCAGTACCTCTAACTTGTCGATTAAGGCCTTCTTGGAACCACGCTTGACAACATCTCATTACAGTAGCTCCGTTTCGATTTACCTGATTAGCGAATTCTGTACAAGAATATCCGGTTTCACATAACCCGCGCGTCTGCAAACTCCAGGCATGCAATGAAACAACAAAAAAAATAAAACCAACACAGAACAATCACTAAATATTAAGTAAACATGTTCATATTGTTGATATGACAAAAAAACCCTCACAAAAAAGGACGGCTCTGAATGCTTTCAACATTTTATCTGCGTACTTCCATGATAGCAAATATATTGACAAGTTTTTACCAAATATCGATGAATAATTCTGGGTGTGGCATTTTATACATCACTTAGTAAGTCCTAAGGATCGCTAACATTTGAGATCATATTGCATTGATCAAACGACGAACCGGCAAAGTAATCAAACTACTTGTTGTTATATGGATATGATAAGACCTTTTAATTGATATATGATTTATTGCTATTCACCGGAAGTGAAGGTTGGAGAGGGAGAGAAACTGGCACTGATAGTGGAATACGGGCATGGTCTCTAGAGTGAATTCTGTATCATATGAGGAGCTCGCCTCTTAGGGTTTGCTGACGGCCTTGCGATGATATCGACTATAGTGTGTGGCTCGACAAAGGTTTGAAAATGATAATATGTAAGGCACACCACTGACCAGGTAAATACAGCCGTTGAATCTCTGATACGGCTAATGCTATTTAATGGAGCCCCATTAGTGAGAATCGCAGGATTTTGACAAGGGTAGCGACTGCTCTGTAACATGGCCTTGACGAAAAAAAAGATAGGTAACTAATGCTAAGAAGTCAATGAAAAGTAGTGCTGTATGAGGGACACGCTCACAGAACAGAGTCCACCGATGACTGCTGCTGGGCGCTGAATCCCTCCAATTGCTTTGCTGACTGAGAAAAAGGCACCAGAGCTAGAAGTGACCAGTGGTGCTTTTTGTCTGATGGCAGGACAGATGGGATGCAAATGGTCATGGTGCATGGACTATAAGTCTGATGCCAGATATTAAAACCTACGCTGACAAGCGAACGGTGCGGAGAGATTCCAAGCTGCATAGTTCCCACACAGGACATGGTTGTTTTGAGCTTGAGAAAGAGAGTACTGCGCACATGGCAACGAATGTGGTAGACGGGTTTACTACCAGAGACAACTCATAGCTGAGAATTTTGCAATGGATGTAAGTGAGGGAAAATAGGTTGATATTCAACCAATAGTGAGGCGCATGATGCTGAGCAAGGTACAGAAGGACAAAAATAGACCAAGGAACCTATGTACGATGTTGAGTCGATGATTAGTAACTTCTGGTATGAAAACCTAGCCACCCAATATGCTGAAATGCTACAACCATTACCCTGGTGGGATGTGTGGTGAGCGACTAAGATTCTGGAGAATCTCATATCTCGAGCAGGAAAGGCCGACAAGCAACACTGCCCAGCATTTCTTCGTGAGAGCGGCGGTAAAAGCTTTCCACTATCAAAAAAAGCCCTTGGCCCTTAAACCTTGCTACATGATTTACTTTCTTATTATCATGTTAAACACTGTATCCAAGCACCCATACTACTTGGTGATCGTGGTTATTTGCTTTATATCACGAGCCTGGACTATTGTTGGGCATACTTGTATTGGATCATCCCCCTAGTGTACTGGGTCAACATCAGAGTAACGTCGAAAACGTGTATGTATAATATACATATATTTACAAAGCTACATACAGCTAGAACGAAGCTTTGGAATTGATATTTTGACAAGGATATTGAATAGGGGGGATTCAGCTGGTGGAAAGTATTGTTGATATTGTAGGTACTGCCAATGCTGCACCTGACTATATGAAAATCAGTTTCCAGGGGGAAATGTTGCATACACTTTCAAAATTTCACAGCGTATCATTGAATTATCTAAGAAAAAAAGTAAACAGTTTAAAATCAAATAACAACTGTGCCGAAATGATTACTAAAAACGTGCTGAAAAACTGTTTCGAAATTTTGGGATATCCTGTATTAAATTGGATCAATTGTTCACTGAGAAGCAGTTCTTTTCCTGAAAATTTGAAATGCTCTACAATAACACCAGTTCCCAAGATAAAAAATTCTAAAAGATGCAGCGATATGAGACCAGTAAATGTGTTACCAGACATTGAAAAATTATTAGAGTCCATAGTGCATGACCAATTAATGCAGTTTATAGAAGAAAACAAAATTTTAGTGGAGGCGCAAGCAGGCTTTCGAAAAAAATATTCCACAGAAACAGCTTTCCAGTTGGTAACTGAGAATTGGAGAAGAGCCATAGACTCAGAAGAAGTTGTCATAGCAGTATTTTTGGATTTGAAGAGGGCATTTGAAACGATTGATAGAGATATTTTGTTAGGTAAATTGAAGGCATATGGTATAACAGGAAGTGTTTTAGATTGGTTTGGAAATTATTTGTCTAAAAGGATGCAAGTTACAAAAGTTAATGACACTATTTCATCAAAAATTGAAAATACGTTGGGTGTTCCACAGGGCAGTATCCTGGGACCACTTCTTTTTATTTTATACATAAATGATTTACCTGCCATAGTCAAAAAATGCAAAATTCAAATTTTCGCCGATGACACTATGATTTATATAAGTACTAAAAATATTCAGTCTGGTATCTCTTATATAAATGAAGACTTGAAGCTTGTCTCAAAATGGTTAGCATCTAACAGACTAAAATTAAATGCAAGTAAAACGAAAGCCTTGTTAATCGGAAAAAAACAATGTACAAATGTTCAACTGAATATTGATGGTGAGGATATTGAATTCGTAGAAAATTTTAAATACCTGGGAGTTTTTGTTGACTCTCGATTAATTTTTGATATTCATTATGAAAAAGTTATAAATAAGATTAGTAGTAAAGTGGGATATTTATCGAGAGTTTCTGGATGTCTGAGTTCATATAGCAGAAAAATTATCTATAATACCATCATTCTTCCAAATTTCTTGTACTGTTCGACTATTCTATATTTAGCAAATAATTCCATTTTTGAAAGACTGCAAATTTTACAAAATAAGTGCATGAGAATAATACTAAATAAAGATAAATATACTCCAATTAGGCAAATGCTTAGCAAATTAAAATGGCTCAATGTAAAAAATTTTATCAAATATCTTGTAATGATATTCATTTATAAAGTAAAAAATAATATATTTCCATCAAGTCTAACTAATTTAACATCATCAAATGTCGACCATCATTTACATAATACCAGAAATAAAGATGACTTCCATTTAATGACCAAAAAGTATAACATATGCTACAAATCTGTATTCCATCAAGGGTTGATTGAATATAATAAATTATACTCGGAGATAAAAGACCAGAAAACTTTGACAAAATTTAAAGTAAAATTGAGAAATCACTTGTTAAATCTACAATTATAGGTTGCCCAGCATTCACATCATACACCATATGGCTTGAATTTACTAGTTCTAAGTTGTTTACAATTGTTCTGTTTATGTAGCCAAATGTGCTAAATAAATCTTTCTACTACTACTACTACTAAATATTGTAAACATGGAATTTACATATCATTTCGAGGAAATGTTCGGTTGTCAAAAACAGAGGATTTAATTCAGTTGGGCGAGATGCATGGGTGGCGATAAAAAGTATGTAGGGTGGTAGGCTGCAATTCA